CCTCTGTTCAAAGATGGTCGCTCACAGTGGACATAGATGCTTCTTTCACTCCTCTTTCAAACCATCTGTCCTCTCTGTCCAAAAAACTCAATCTGCAGAGCAGAGCTGAGTGTCTGTAGGAGATGAAAGGAGAAGTTAACTGTGGCCTTGGTGAAACTGGAGACAGTATCTTGCATGATTTACAGTATGTTTCAGAGGGTTTACAGCGAATGGGCAGAAATCAAGAGGAAAGGTGAGTGGTTCAGTGGAAAGTGGGAAAGCAGGTGTGTCCTTGTTTTTAAAGCAGTGGCAGCTATCAGTTTGACTCAGTTAAGTTAAACTGACAGTGCTCTTCAAACTTTACAAGGAATGCATGTTAGTGAGCTTGGAATTGCTAAGGAACAAGGGAATGAATGAGAACAGAGTACTACGGAGCAAAAAACACATGATGGTGACAAGGATCTGGTGGAAAACAGCTGGTTCTTAAATACCAAGAACTAATTAGACATTGCAAAGCAATTGCAGGAGAGAAAGCCCAGGAAAAGCCACTTTGCTGTAAGTAAGCATGTAATTTCTGCTGCTTCGGGGATTACCACCACAACAAGCACCAACCAGCTTATAGTCACAGTTCAGTGCAACAGCCTCAGGAATGGGGCTGAACAGGGTCCATTGACACTCAGTGTCCTCATTCTCTGAATCCTGTCAAAGCTCTGCCAGAGGTGAGAGTTGATGATCTCATGGGCCTCTGCTAGGAGTTCTCAGAACACCCTCCGTATATGTTTGGGTGCACCAGGTCTGTCCAGTGTCCTCCACTGGCCACCTAATCCAACTCACCACCAAGTGGTGATCAGCTGACAGCTCAGTCTCTCACTTCACCCGAGCCTCCAGAACATGCAGCCATGGCTGATCCTCGACGTACGGCCCGGGGGGGGTCTGGTCCCATGTACACTTATGGACACTTTTCTGTTTGACCATGGTGTGCAGTATGGACAAACTGTGGTTTGCAGAAGAGAACTGTGCAAAGAATCAGGTACGACTGGTTGGTTCCTCCCAATCACAACCCTCCAGCTTTCACTGTCATTGCCCACATGAGCACTGAAGTTTCCCAGTAAGAAGTCCCCAGGTGGAGCACCCTCAACCAGCCATCCCACTCTCCAGGAGATTGGTTCCAGAGCCCAAGCTCTATGTTGAGGTGAGCCCAACTACAGTATATCTAGCCAGTACCTCTCAATCTGTCACCTCTCACACTAGTTCAGGTCCTTCCCCTTCAGGTTTTATGTCCCCATTGCCAACCTCTGAAGCTGGGTTTTGGTCTGCCAGGGTCTCTGCCTTTGTCCGACTCCCAACACACACTGCGCCTGACTCCTACGGTGCCTCCTGCAGGTGATGGACCTACAGGAGTGTGATCTCATGCCCCATCTTTGGGCTGCACTCAGCCAGGCTCCATGGACTAATGCCCGGCCACTAGGTGCTCACCCTCCCCCAGGCCTGGCTCCATGGCAGTGCCCTGGTCGTGGTAACCCCATCCTGGGCAGTGTGAACTGTTCCCTTAAGGTTCTCATAGGGTTTTCTGAATCGCTCTTTGTCTGGTCTCTCACCCAAGACCAATTTCCCATGGGATACCTACCAGGGGGCAAAACGCCCACCAGCAACATTCCCCCTGGGATCCCAGGGACACACATACCCCTCTACAACGATAAGGTAAAGGTTTACAGAGGGGAGGTATTTTAATTTAGTAATGTATTTTAATGTGATCTTAATGAAGGAGTGAAAAAACTGTCTGACGGCCGTCTATGTCGTGGAAAAAACTGCTGAAAGACTAAAGTTAAAAACGGTCTCTGGATGACTGGTCACCAATGTTACAAAAAAAGATATCAGATTGGTAAATGCCTTGTATATATGTTGTGTGTGTGTGTGTGTG